CAACGACGGAGGAACCCTAAAGAATAAGGAAAAAAAGTCTTTCTGCCAAGGAACCGCCATCCTGAACAAAAAATAAACTGAAAATGAGACCAAACTCCATGCAATGTTATATTCATAGTCACAGACACGTAAAAAATAAAAGAATCAACTTTTTTCATGGGGAAATTACCTCCCTTCCTCACGTGCGGCCACTTTAAAGAGAAATCTAAAATCTAAAATTAAACACCAGGCAACCTTTATCAAAACCTATAGTCACATTACACCACTACTCTAATTCCTCGACCCAAAGTCCACACTTGGAAGGAACTACGAGCTGAAATCTACCTCGACGAGAAAGTGTCACAAAAACCACGCCCCATCACCCTTCTCGTCGACCCCAACCTCCAGCCTCTTAACAACATGACAGCAACATGTTTCGTACAGAGGAAGCTCCGTTGAAATCAGCCACAGCGAGATTCCGGTCTGCAGCCACCCAGAAGCTGACGAAGGCTCAACTTTCCACAAGCTGTTCCTTCGATACAAAGGGCATGAACCAAAAGGGCGTGAGTGGGACCTCGTCATGTCAAAGAGCTGACGAAAAATACTAGCCATGATAAGTTGAGTGAAGTGGCCACGGCAAAGGAGAGGAAACTGGAAAGTGCAGAAACTGGAGGCTGGGAAACGGCTGGACATTTTTCATAGTAAGCACAAAGAGGAAACCTATATTCGTGATGACGACCAAATTGCATCGGAGGTAAGTTTTCTATAGATGACCTATATTTCGAAAATATACGAAATATTATAATTTCGTTATATAAGAACGTTTCCGAGACCTGATTCTAGATTTACAAGAGTGGCAATGACTGCAAGCGAGCGAACAAAAGAAAATTATTCATAAAGAAGAATTCTTGTCCAAAAAAAATAAATTTCCCATTGTACTTTCGTAGATTACTGTTTTCACATTCTTTCATTTCTGTTGGCTTATTTTGGGAAGATGGCGTGTCTCAGAGCTTCAGCGTGCCATAACAATGACACAAAAAACATTTTCTAAATTAGAAACAGTTCTGTAGATCAATACGGGCAATGCAATCTCATGTTCACAATCTTGCACTTGCTCTCTTGCGCAGTAACCAATCAAGTAACATTTTCTTGCTTACATTCACCTACATAAAGCATAAAATAACTAGTCACGGCGGTTATGCTGTTACTCAACATGTTCGTAATTTGGTAGCTTTTGAGATACTTTACATACCAGCAAAAAATTTTAAAAATTTTCATCAAGCTAGCAGTTTATATGTCGGCTTTTTTATTATAAAACATTGAAATAATTTAGAATGAGCAAACAAGAAGTAGAGAGGAGAAAGGAAGAAAAAGATAGAAGAACAAGGAAGAGAAAAAAGGAGAAAGAAGAAGGGGGAAGAAAGAGGCAAAAGAAAACTGGGAGAGGGAGGAAGGGAGGAGAGGAGAGAGAGAGAGGGGGGAATAGAAGGGGGAGGGGAGGAGGAGGAGGGGGAAGGGAGAGGAGAGAGAGGGAGGAGGGAGGAGAGAGAGGAGGAAGAAGAGAGGAGAGAAGAGAAGAGAGAGGAGAGAGAGACAGGAAGAGGATAGGAGACTTTTTGTGAGAGATGAGAGACTGAGAGAGGGAGAGAGAGAGGAGAGAGAAGAGAGACGAGAGAGAGAGGAGAGGAGAATGAGAGAGAAGAGAGAGAGAGAGAGAGGCACAGAGATTAGGAGACAGAGACAAGAAAAGAGAGAAAGACCACATGAAAATTAATGAGAAAGCGACAACGCACTGCTACATCGACGAAACAGCCTAACCATCAGTCAAATAATTGATGTAACGAGCCAATCACCGGAAGTTTGACGAAAACAAAAGCAAAACAGGCCAGCTCTCCTCCAATGCCGACAAATCCCTGAGGCATTGGAGTTAAGTCGGGCCATTTAGTGAGCATTTTGATTGATAAAAAGCTCGGGATACAGGGCATGGAATTCAATGCGCCCAATTAGCGGCAACGAACCCAAGGACGTAATTAGTCTTAGTGTAATAGTTTCCGTCATTATCTTTAGTGATGATAATTAATAAAGATAGAAGAGGCGGTAAGATCTAACAGCAGAAAATGGTACTCTTTGGTACTTTAGAGAAGAGAGAGAGAGAGAAAAAAAAAAAAACATTCATATTAGTCCAAGTTAACGAGGAAGTTGAGAAGGCCTTGACATCTCTATGGAAGTGCATGTGCTAATTGGTACACACCGTACGTTCTCCCGGTACTTGTTTTGCTATAAGTCTACATTTCGAAATCCGTATCTGCGTCAATGAAATTTCGAACTCCTCCTCCTTCCTCTCCTCTCCTCTGCGCTGTAAGTGGGACATGGCTTCACTGATCCCGGTAACCGCCCAAACAAGGACCTCGATGATTCCCTTTGACTGACGCTCTTCTGTCTCCGTAACTGCGAAAGCTTTAACCAACGGTGGTCGTTGCGATAAGTGCCGCGGGACGGAAACCAGCGCTCGCTTTGATGGTGGACGCAGTAACTCGAAGACGAATTACGTGAATATCTGTTTTACTGTTCACTCTGTT